GGAATAACACCAAGGAAAATCTTCATGCTATTTTATTTCCACTAGAAAAATATTATCTATATAAAATTTGGTCCAGTTTCTTCTCCTTTATCTCTGCCATTCAAATTTAAATGCTTTAATTTTATTCCAGTAAAAATCACATATCTGACATAATAAAATACTTCACATCATTAAATTAATAGGGTTTAGTTGAATTAGGTGTGCTCTTCCTTATTTCTTAGGAATAGTAGCTCATCTTTCCTACATGTTATTTCCTTCTACTTTTATTCTTCTGAGTTAACTAAGTAAGGCTATCTGTTTTCCCACATCCAGCAATACAAGTGTTATAGAAGTGTAACTTATAACATTAGTAACTAGATTCATCATTAATCTTCAATTCATGTTGTTCTCCTTATTATATGGTATTTCCATAATATCTCCAGATACTTCAACCAATTAAGCCATTAGTTTAAAAATACTATTAAATTTCCAAACTAAATAACACTTGGCCCACTTAGAGTGATGCTGTCGTGAGAGGTCCTTGCACAGCTATTGCTTCGATCTCAACACAGCCTCCTTTGGCAAAGCAGCAACCTGGTAAGCAGCTTGTGCAGAAAAACTCCTCTGGAAATATTGTTTGTAGACATCGTTGACAGTACTGAAGTCATTTATGTCAGCCAGCAAAACAGTTGCTTTTACCACATTCGTGATGTCACAGCCTGCTGCTCTCAGAATCTCACCTATGTTTGTAAGAGCCTGTTTAGCCTCTTCTGCCACCCCTCCTGGCACAAGCTGTCCACTTGCAGGGTCCATGCCTAGCTGTCCTGAAATGTAAATGGTCCTGTCGACTAACACAGCCTGACTGACTGACCAGCCGGGGCCAGAATCGGGGCTTTAAAGCATCGCCGGAATTGGTGCTTTTTAACTGTGATGTTGGAGAAGACTCTTGAGAGTCCCTTGGATTGCAAGGAGATCAAACCAGTCAATCCTAAAGGAAATCAGTCCTAAATATTCATTGGAAGGACTGATGCTGAAGCTGAAGCTCCAATACTTTGGCCACCTGATGCAAAGAACTGACTCATTGGTAAAGACCCTGAATCTGGGAAAGGCAGGAGGAGAAGGGGACAACAGAGGATGAGATGGTTGGATGGCATCACCGACTTGACGGACATGAGTTTGAGCAAGCTCCAGGAGTTGGTGATGGACAGGGAAGCCTGGTGTGCTGTAGTCTACAGGGTCACAGAGAGTCGGACACGACTGAGCGACTGAACTGAACTGAACTGAACTGAATTGAAGCAGAATTAAATCACTTTTCTTTTTACCTGATCCCTCCAGAATTTAGAAACTCCTAGGTTCTCAGCAGTCTTTCCCACAAAGGCAAAATGGTTATAAGATGCAAGAAAAACTGACTTTATAAATGATCTGTCTAATTGGCTTCGCCCAGGAATAGTCAATTTTTCCACTTTGCTTCATAGACAATTATCTGATATATTGTCATAGTATGTATTATTATTCTTTTCCTAGAGGAGCCTGGTAGGCTACAGTCCATGAGGTCGCAGAGTCGGATACGACTGAGCGACTAAGCACAGCACATGCTAAAGGTAAAGTGTTCGGGGCTGGTGCACTGGGATGACCCAGAGGGATGGGATGGAGAGGGAGGTGGGAGGGGGATTCAGGATGGGGAATACATGTAAATCCATGGCTGATCCATTCAGTGTATGGCAAAAACCACTACAATATTGTAAAGTAATTAGCCTCCAACTAATAAAAATAAATGAATAAATAAAGGTAAAGTCCCTGGAACACCGGTGCTGGTACTCCTTTGATGAGAAGATTCCCTTCCCAGGTGCCAAGGTCATACTCATTTGCTGTGTGCATGCTGATATTCATTGTTGTTTTTTTAAAAAAAACCTTGAAGGAATGTATCCCTGATTTGTTTGATGTTTTTTTATATCTGATAAGATATAAAACTGTGTTTCTCCAGAGAAGTTCCTCAGAGTTATCTGAGAATTTTCTCAGAGTTATCTGTCTCTTGGTTGGCTCAAATATAACTCTTTTCTATTCGTATCATAGTTTGGTTATTGATTATTTGCACTGGCAATTCTTTTCATCAGACAAATTGTGCTGCTTTTTTTGAACTAGCTGAACCATCTATCTTCACTGAATGAGCTAAATAAAATCTTTAACATGAGTTCAAATTCACTTTTATACCTGTGTGAATCATGGTTTTACCTTTTTTGGTGAACATTTTCTTAATATTTTAAATTTTTAATGCATACAAATACATATTTGACATAATTGTAGTCACAGTCTATAAATTTTTTTTCACTTACTATATCAGGTAAAAAATTTTTGTATACTGCTATAAAACTTCACAATGATTGGGAGTTTTTTTTGGTTGTTGTTACATAAGCTTTCTTCCCCATTCTCTAAGCATTGAATATTTAAGTTATTCAAACTTTATTTATTATTGTTGTTATTTGACCATGCTGTGCAGCATACAGGATCTTAGTTCCTCAACCAAGGATTGAACCCAACACCCCTGCAGCGGAAGCATGGTGTCCTAACCACTGGACTACCAGGGAATTCCCTAAACCACTTTGAAAAAGCAAAAATTCTGCATTTGCTTAACTCCTTTTGAAATTCTTTTTTTTTTTATTCTTGAATTTGACTATCATTACTATTTTTTAAAATAAATAAAGAAGTATTTATTTATTTATTTGGCTTTGTCAGGTCTTAGTTGCTGCATCCTGGATCTTCGTAGCCTCATGTGGACTCTTTCGTTGCCATGTATGGACTCTAGTTGTGGTGAACAGGCTCAGTAACTGTGTTGCAAGGGCTCCAGAGCATGTGAGCTTCAGTAGTTGCAGGATGTGGGTTCTCTAGTTGTGGCACAGAGGCTTAGTTGCTCTGTGGTATGTAGGATCTTACTTCCTTGACCAGGGATGGAACTTGTGTCCCCTGCATTGGAAGGTGGATTCTTAACCACTGGATCACCAGGGAAGTCCCTCATTACTATTTTTACCATATAAAATGATACCAATGTGTAGGTGAAAGGACTCCATACTATATACTCATTTCACACACATACATGGGTACACAGTATGGAGTCTATAAAAGAAGTATTAGTGGGAAATGAGTATTCCAATTTGAAAGAAAATAAAAAGGCAACTCTGACTACAGAGGATCCTTTTGCTACATGTAGTGCCTTCAGTGTGGGAGACCCAGGTTTGATCCCTGGGTCGGGAACATCCCCTGAAGGAAATGGCAACCCACTCCAGTATCCTTGCCTGGAAAATTCCATGAACGGAGGAGCCTGGCAGGCTACAGTCCATGCAGTTGGACACAACTGAGCAACTTCACTTTAGTGCACTGATAAGTACGTGCGTCTGGTGTCTCCAAGGTACCCAGCAAGCTGCCCTGCACACATAAAGTGTTCAAGTAATGTGCCTATTATTTCCCCTGCAGTCAGGGCCACTTTCTATGGAATTTGTTTCTAAAAGCATCTGCACAAAAAAAAAAAAAAAAAAAAAATCAGGAATAGTAGCTCCTTTCAGGGAAAGCTGTTTCCCCCAGAAGGCAGAGGGAAGATGAAAAAGGACAAAATAAAAACAGAAACTGGAAGCTCCATTGCTCCTGGGCAAGCAGCCCTATTCCCTGGGCCTCTCTGAGCCCTATCAGATACACACCAAAACGGAAGAGCTCAGAAGAGGTGCTAGACAGCAATTTCTGTTTCTGTTTCACCAATAACAGTACTATAAAGTGTGCGAAGGAAGGAGAAGTTCTCTATGAAACCCTGCATGGCCTTGGCCAAGGCATCATATTCTTCCGGGCCTCAATTTTCCTCATCTGCTAACAAGAGAAATACCAGGGGAATCTTTAAGATCTCTTCTGATTTAACAAGACTTCTGATTCTGTGATTGGACATACCTCTATAATATTTCCTAATACATTGCATCATTTCTATTTCCTACTTCATCCCTGATACATACACCAGTACTTTCTTTTGATTGGCACAAGAAGAAAGGGCTTCTAGGCTGGATCTTGGTTCAGGGGACCAAAAGCAGGACTCTCTTTTTTCTTTAATTAAAGGAAGTGTCTCAAACTGGGAAACAGTGTGTGTCAACTGTGAATAAACTTCTGAGGGTTCTGTTATTGTCTTTTCTTTATTTAGTCAGGTGGGTGCCTTAGGAACAAAAAGACAGTGAAAACAACAGCTTCAGACCTGTATTTTTTCACACACTCTTGCTTCTTAGTTGGAGCTCAGAGGAGGGGACACAGTTTACATTTTTTGAGAGGACTGCAAGGACCCTCTAACACACTGCTTTAACCTTCACACCTAAGCTCAGAAAACCCGTGTTTGTCATGTGGGTTTTCCTGTTTCTGGTTTGTCTGCTACAAACCTCTGATGCTCTCGGATTTCCTGGCTGTCACTCTCTGGCCCTGGAGGGGACGCCTGAGGGGGCTGAACCCTGCTTTGCTCTATCGTGGGGGCAGCTCAACTGTTCACCCTGTGTTTGTTCCTGTCATTACCCCTGAAAGGACAGCAGTGCCAGGCTCTGGCCTATTAGCTCCCACTGCGGCCAACCCTCTCATAAATAACCCGTTGTCAGGGATTTTAATGGAAGCCCTCTGGAAGCTGTAAATCTTTGTGGCTCCCTCCTGCATCCTCTCTCTCATTTCCATCACAATATTACTCCAGAGGGACCAGAGACCAAAGCATGAGCTTGCCAGAGCAGATTGGTAGGACACTGGGGAAAGAAAGAGGCGGGATGGGGGAGGGGAACAGAGCTGGGACAGTTGGTCTTAGGGAAGCATCTGTTGGGTGGCCAGTTGATGATGGTCACTTGGATCCCCAAGGCCCTGGAGAGGGGGAAGGGCAAGATGGCCTAGGGCCACCTGATGGGAAGAGGGAAGAGAACAGGATGGCAGAGAGGTTTCTGGAAGGGTGTACCTCGGGCCCTCCAGTGTGAATTTATGCACCAAGTAGCAGGATTTTAGTGTCTGCTTCAGGTTAAGCTATGCCTTTGCCTCTAGCCTCCTGCTTCAGCAGATCAGCAGGTAAAGGGGTGGCGTTCTGTGTTGGCAGGAAAACCTTTCCTCTACCAATTTAGGTCTGAAAGGTAACAAAGTTTTTTATATACACCAGAGCATTCAGGAGTGAGTAACTACCCCAAATAGCTAGGGATTAAGGTTTATACATCAGTTTAATAAGAGTGGGGGTGTTGAGGGATTCACAGGATGGAAGTCTCTAATGAGACTTGTTTACACAATTTTTTGGACTGTCCAAGAAAATGGACATTCTAAATGGCTGGGTGATGCCTGCCTGACTGGAGATCTTCCTGGATGGGTGGAGGGGGTTGCCAGGTGTTTGGAAAACCACTGGTGTTTGGAAAACTCTGGTTTATTTATATCAGGGAAGTTCAAATAGGATTTCTTTCTGCATCGGCTGTAGCCCAAATATTTCCACCTTAAAGTAAAAATTCTCCTGAAGGTTTTTTTTTTTTTTTTTTTAAGTCTATTCACCTGCTGAACCTGCTGAAACTTAGCTCCTGGACTAACTTTAGCGTGCTTCACATCACAGATGTGGATTTTGTCTTTTCCCTTAGCTGTTTTGACTACAGGTTTTCTTAGGAGGCCTTCTCCTTCTTACATGTCTCCCCTCAATTGCTGGAAAAGAAATGATCCCAGTCTTACATAAATCTTACTCCTTGGGACTAAACGATCTTTTTTCACAGGAGCAGCTATATTTCAGTGGCATCAAGTCAAGCATCTGGAAAGATTTCAAGAACGAAGAGGGATGTATATCCCTCCTCGGTTCAATCCGTAAGGGAGTTTATCAAAATCGCTCTGGTTCAAGACTTAAAATCAATCCTTTGTTCAATCTTTCACCAATCTGAATCAACCGAGGCAAAAACTGCTCTGTGCTGTGCTTAGTCGCTCAGTCGTGTCCGATTCTTTACTGGCTGCCAATCCTATCCAGGCAGGACTCTAAGCTCAGACAGGTGGAAACTTTAGGGAACCACAATTATTTGAATCCAGTCACAACTCTGATTCTCCACCTGAGAATAGTCAAGGTGTTGTTTTGAGAAGTCAAAACCCCTGAGCCCTGGGCAGCTCTTTCCTATTGGCCAGTTCAGTGGCGGGGTCAGGACCCTCCCACCCTCTGAGGTATCATGATTCAATAAGCCTGAGCGGTTCGTCACAGGCTTGTGATACCCATTTTACTGCTAAAGAAGCTAAGTCTCAGGGCACGTCGGCTGTCCGAGGTTACAGAGGCAACCTGAGATCTCGACTTGGGTTTCAATCTAGCCCTCTCTGCACGGTGTTCCCTGCTCCCGGCAGTGGATGTTTACCCTCTACAGAGTGCCTCAGGGCCAAGGCGCCCCTCGCTCGGACCGACTATCGCCGCTGGAGCTCCACAATCAGGCGTTCTGATTCGCTCTGGCCCCCCGACGTTCAAGCCGCGCCTGCGCACGACGCCCAGACGGCGCGGGCCGGATCCGCCGAGAACCCGGGGGCGGGGCGGACCGGGGAGGGCTGGGCGGATCCGGTAAGGCGGGGACCCGCGGAGGGCAAGCGGTAGTTGCGCCTCGCGCGCCGAGAGCGCGGTTCGCGTCTCAGCGTCCTCTGCATCTCCCGGGACGACCTCGGGCGCTTCTCTCTCCGAGCGGTTAACTAGATTCGGGAGGCGGGGGGCATGCCAACTACCGAAGGGGCCAATCGAAGGCCTGGAAAGACCTATATGCAAATGCCGGGGGGGGGGGGGCCGGGCGGACCCTAAGTTAGGAGCGGCTCGGGTTGGGGTTAGGGGTTGTCTGGCAGCCAGTGGGAGCGTGTCTCCTTCGAGGAGGGGACCCACGAGTGTGGTTGCGAGCGATACGGGCGGCAGAGCGGGGGCGACACGGGGGAATAGGAATTGCGGGTAAGAGCGCCCCAAAGCCCGCTGCTGCCCCCAGGCCGCGGCCTCCTAGTGCCTCCCTACTGAAAACCGGGTTCTACATGCCCTCCACCCCCGCCCCGGTCCTCCACGGTGCCCAGTTTCCCAAGGCTACCCCTCTGCCCTTCACTGGTGGCATTCTGTGGCAAAAGCCTCCTGCACGCCTTGCTTCTCGGTTCTGCTGTAGCCCACCTCTAAGCAGGTCTAGGTATCGCTCACCCTCTTCCACGCCCCATACTTAATTCACTCCCTTTTCTCATCCTGAGGACCCCATGCCAGGACCTTTCTCACACACCAACCATTCTTTTCCCAGCTCCTCACTCTTTCCTAACCTACCTTTCCTCCCAAACCTGGGTCGACCTCTGTGCGCACCCTCACTTCCGGCCCTCCCTCGATTTCCCCAAACCTCTGCCCCCAGGGGGGTTGTCCCTGAGATACCAGAGATCCCTGGGAATCGCACAACTCTCTCCTTTTCCTCCTTCCTCATCCTCCGATCCTTCTCCTGATCACCTTTCTTCCTTTGTCTGGAGAATCCTTACAGAAATACACTTCTGTTTCTCCTGGCAGCGCAGCCCCCTGCAAATAACCTACCTCCTTTCCAGCCCTCTGCAAATAACCTATCTCCTTTTTCTTTCACTTCTAGGCATTATTTCTCACCTTCCTGAAGGAAAACTCTTCTAGGCTTGAGGAAAGTTCTTTGGGATTTGAACCCTAGGGAAAAATGTAACTTACATTTATTAATAGGAATGAACATGGGAAGGGAGCTAACAGTTTACTGAAGCCTAGTATGTGCTAGGCACTTAAGTTATTTATTGTGTACACCAGTGCCACAATTATATTTTCATTTTACAATAGCCCTTATTTTGAACCAAACATAGCTTTAAGAGCTTTAGAAATGTTAACTCACTTAATCTTTAAAGCAACCCCATGAGGTGAATATTATTTTCAAATATTATTTTCATTTTACTTACGAGGGAACTGAGGTACAAAGAGACTCACTCACCCACAGTCACCCTTCTGTTATAGTAAGTGGTAGAGGTGGGGTTTGGATCCAGAACCAATCTGTCTTTGCTAGTTACGTACTGCGTATTGTGGAGAAAATGACTGGGTATGAGCCTGCCTGAAAATTGCATCTTCCAGTCTTGCAGAATGCCTTGATTTCTAGCAGAATAAAAGATGGCATCTGAGTCAGCAAGTTTCTTGTTCACAGGGAATGTGGCCAGTTATTCTCAGCACTTATTGGCAAAACCCTTGAATAGTTGAGTGCCTCCCTTGTTAGTCTGTGTTTTGATAAGGGTCCCTTTAGGCCCTGTGCTGAGATTCAAAGGGTGGATAGAATGAAAAGCCAAAAGACCATAGTGAAAGTGAAAGTCTCTCAGTTGTGTCCAACTCTTTGTTACCCCATGGACTGTATAGTCCATGGAATTCTCCAGGCCAGAACACTGGAGTGGATAGCTGTTCCCTTCTCCAGGGGATCTTCCCAACCCAGGGATTGAACCCAGGTCTCCTGCATTGCAGGCAGAGTCTTTACCAGCTGAGCCACCAGGGAAGCCCTTCCTTTCTGAAGTCATAGTTTTATGCTAAAATATAGACCAAATAGTGCTCAAATTGATTCTGGTAACAGGGGCAGAAAAAAAAGCCTTGCTAGAGTAGGGGAAGGAATGGAGGACCATTGTAGGCATTTTATTTTATCTTGCCTGCTTCAAAGTTCAAAGCACTTTCCTGGATATTAAGCTTTTATCTTCTTGGTGATTCCGTAATGACGGAAAAGATAGGAAATGAGGGAGAATATAAGCACTGGCTTCTAAATATGATATCCTATGTCAAAGAGGCAAAGCTAAAAGCAAGATCCAGAGATCTTATTCTGCATCTTTTTTTGGTCCCATCTACTTCTATCTTTTTCTAAGAGCTAGCAGAGGCATTCTATGCTTCTGGTTGGGGAATGAGGACCAAAAGATGAAAAGGTGAGTGGAGTGCAGGAAAACCTGTTATTTGGAAGAAGAGAAGGAAATCACAGGCAGACACAGTAGGAAAACTCTTCAGTGCTGAATGAATTCCTGCAGACCAAAAGAAAAGCCTAGGTTGTGAAGGTCAGGGTTAAAAAAACTAACATTTGAAACACTTAACAACCAAATGATTCTTTCCTCCCTTTTACAGACCCCCATATTAATCCCTGGTAGCTCAGCTGGTAAAGAATCTGCCTGAAATGCAGGAGACCCCAGTTCGGTTCCTGGGTTGGGAAGAGTCCCTGCAGAAGGGATAGGCTACCCATTCCTGTATTCTCAGGCTCCCCTGGTGGCTCAGAGGGTAAAGAATCTGCCCGCAATGCGGGAAACCTTAGTTCAATCCCTGGGTTGGGCAGATCCCCTGGAGGAGGGCATGGCAACCCAGTCTAGTATTCTTGCCTAGAGAATCCCTATGGTCAAAGGAGCCTTGTAGGTTGCAGTCCATGAGTCAGACATGACTGAGCAACTAAACATTAATTCAGCCTAGCAAAGGAAAGCACTAAACATTTCCCACCCTTCTCTAGCACCTCTTGGGCTAAGAAGAGTACTCAACATGTGTAGTCTTTTGAGCAATGGAAATGAGTCCCTCCAAGTAACCTGCATTGTGTTTGCTTGTGTGGAGCTATCCCAGTGCTCATCCCCTCCCCCTGGTGGCCAATGGAAGTCATTTTCATGCTGTCACTAGGCTTTGGTTGGCAGCCTCTACTTGGAAGATCCCAAGATCAAATCCCATACCAAAATGCAAACAGGGTTTTTTCACTATCTTAACTATTTTACTTGGGAAGGGAAATTGACTGTGTCATCAAGAAAAACTGAAGATGATATTTTCTATGTTTGCTACATATATTTGTGCAGCATAGTATGTATGTTGTTTTTGCTTTAATTTCCTAAGTCCCTTGGTCTATATTGCCTGCCCACTGACTGGCATAATGGAAAGCTATGTAAAAGGGCAGGAAGCAGGGGCTTTGATCCTGGCTCTGCTGACTTCTCTCCGGCTTTGTACAAGTTGTCCCTCTCCACTAGCTGGGAGGGGGATTTCAAAACCTCTAAGAAGCAAACAGACCGAACTAGACAATTTCCAAGGTCCCTCCCAGCTGTAATATTCAGGAATTCCACTGGAACATGCTCTGATTACACTCAAATAAGAGCCCTGGTACAGTGTGGACACTGGAGAAAAGGAGGGAAAGAAACAGTGAAAATACATACACAGTAGAAACAATAGGGCTGGTCTCGGATTATGTCAGATCTGGGGAGATCCAGGCCCCTTGTTGGAAGTGGGAATTTAGAAGCATTTGGCTTAAAGGAAAATGGTGTGGGACCAGCTGATTCTTAAGAGGCTAACATCACCAAGACTGCTTCTAGGAGCTAGGAAAGCAGTCGCTTCACTTTATGGTTACGGTCGTTTATGGGTGATTGGCAGAGAGGAAAAGGCAGTGGATGGAGTGTAGAGGAGAGAGAGGCTGTGGGGTCAGATGAATATGAATATAGCTTCTAATCCCAGGTCTGCCTCTTACCCTCTCTGTGTTTCAGCCTTCTCATCTGTAATAGAAGTAAGAGAGTATCTATGGTATGATATTATGAGGATGAGATGAGACAGTATGTATGTAAAGTGCTTTAGTATAATTAATACCTGTTATACTTGGTAAGTATAATTAATACTTGTTTACTTGGTAAGTGGGCTTCCCAGGTGGCGCTAGTGGTAAAGAATCTGCCTGCCAATGCAGGAGACGTAAGAGACATGGGTTTGTTCTCTGGGTTGGGAAGACCCCCTGGAGGAGGGCATAGCAACCCACTCCAGTATTCTTGCCTGGAGAATCCCATGAACAGAGGAGTCTGGTGGGCTTCAGTCCATAGGGTCACACACAGTCACACAGGACTGAAGCGACTTAGCACGCATGCATGCATACTTGGTAAGTAGGTTGTAAATAGTATTTACGATTATAGTGAATGAAACTGTTTTAAATGCCTGCTATATGAAAGGATGCAAAGTCAATGCTTTGAAAAAGTTATTTTTTATGCTCACACAACATTTCTATTATATAGATGAGGAGAAGGAACCTTAGACAGGTGAAACTAGTTCCTGCATTTACTCATCCTTCCACTTCATTCATTCAAGAAGCATAGGGATCTCTGTTATGTGCCAGACACTGTGGCAAGAATTGAGAATTCACAATAGCCTCTTCCGTCAGAGAAGTCACAGTCCAGGGCCACATAGCTGAGAATGATAGCAAATAGTGAGCACCTGCTATGTGCCAGGCACTCTCCTAAGCATACTGTATTAACTCAAATGAATTACTGTATTTAATTCTCATGGCTGGGGCACACCATTTTACAGATGAGGAAACTAAGGCAGAGAGCCGTTATGATAAGTAAATTGCCTGAGATCACACAGATAGGAAGTGGCAAATCATGGACTTAAATCTAGGCAGATAGACTCCAGAATCTTGAGTTCTTAGCCACTTCATTACAGCTGCCTCTTAGTAAGTGGTTTAAAGCCACATCCCTGACTGCACAGGCCCTTTGTTGTTGTTTTCAGTTACTCAGCGTGACCCCATAGACTGTAACACGCCAGGCTTCCCTGTCTTTCACCATCTCCTGGAGCTTGCTCAAACTCATGTCCACTAAGTCGGTGATGCCATCCAATCAGCTCATCCTCTGTCATCCCCTTTTCCTCCTGCCTTCAGTCTTTCTCAGCATCAGGGTCTTTTCTGAGTCAGTTCTTCTCATGTGGCCAAAATATTGGGGCTTCAGCATCAGGCACAGGCCCTCCCACTGGGATATAAGTACCATATCTCAGGATGCCAGCAGCAGCCCCCTTCCCTCTTTTGTTTTCTCCTTAACCTTGTTCTTTGAATCTGTGGCCTCACCTCTTTTGATTTCTCGAGGCTACAAGATTGCTTTTGACCAAATTTTAAGACAGGAGAGTAGGTAGAAACCCCCAGGTTAACAGGGAGTAGTTGCTGAGACTGGGAAAGAAAAGTTGAGATCTGCTAGCAGAGTCTGAGTAAATTCAGATGTCTGTGGGGTCAGACTTGGAGCCTAAATGAAAGAGAAGTGACTGGGGCATACAAAAGTGTTTCCTCTCTCTCTCAATGCTGCTAAATGGAAAACAGTAATAACATGAGGGTAACCGTCACTTGGCTCCTGAATCAGGGAGACAGTAGGGAATGATAGGGACTGAGGCAGACTGGAAAATGTCTAGAGAGGGAGCCACTGCTCAGTTCTGGTTGATCGCTGGCCTGAAGCAATGGGGACCTCCTTTTCCGAAAGGAATGGACATCTAGATTTTTATGACAGATCTACATTTCCTAGTTATTGGCAGCTACTTCTCTTTTACATCTCTAACAGTGATGACCACTACTGTGGGGCAAGTAAACATTTCTGTAGGCTAGACTCAGAAGGCAAACCCTTGTGGCAAATATTGAGTGAGCTGTTCTCTTTTAGGGGCTGGAGAGAAGCCAACCGGATTTAGCCTTGGGTATGAACAGGAAGGAGAGAGCTGGGGGAAGAGAAAGCTCCCAAAGACAAAGCGAAAATAGTCACACGTGGCAATCAGTGACTGTTGTCTGCTGTCTTGCATCTGTCCCGGGCGCCTTCCAAGTGCGTCTCACGTAGCCTAGTCTACAGAGGAAGGTGGGCAGGTCTGCCCTGATGAACCCACAGACCTACACAAGCCCGGTCCCTTCCTTGCTTTCTGTGCCCGAGGCTCTCTTGTGCAAGAGTAAACAGAATTTGACTGGCTTTTCTTGGGGGTGGGGGGAGGGTTGTTGTTCTCTTTGAGGCAGACAAATACAAGCACCCATGACTTGTTTTTACCAAGGATTTGAAAAAGGGCAAAGACAACTTGCAACTCCAGAGGCCAGATTCAGGGTCAGTTTTCCCTCCTCAAGTTAACATTAACCTTTAGGTAAACGAGCCACTCCTCCTAGAGGGCTTGGTAAACAGGAGCCATTGTGGAGGCCAGGGGAGGGGAGCCGGCCGTTTACCCGGCAGGAAGCGAGCAGTCCAAGGTCAAGATTTCATGTACTGCAGTCCTCTTGAACTTTTCCAAGAATATGCCTGTTCGCTGAGAAAAACTGACGCACAACGCCCAGGTTTCATCCGTTAATTGCACTGAGTACAACCTTTCTCCCCCTGCTCAGGGCAGGCGTCACCGCAGATGGCTTGGCTGTGAGGAACAGCCCTTTTCAGCAAGAGAGAGAAACAAGTGGCAGTTGTTGGCCACTTCACAGCTCTGCTGTTCCTCTCAGTGGTGGCTACGAGCATTCAGTGAGATGGTGTATGTGAAAATTCTTTGGAACACCTAAGGAATTATGTCCATGTAGGGTTTTATTATTAAATTATTCATAGGTAGCCTCTGAATTAGAGCACCCTCCCCCATTTTGGTTTGAAAAAGAAATGGAGAGTGGTGGCAGGGTATCGTAATGTTAAATAAAACACGGCTGTAAGGTATCAAACTTGTCTGGAATTAGCAAAGTTGGGTATAGAGGGGAGGTGATTCCCAAGAGGTTGTGTGACTCTGGTGAGCCTGCTGTAATTGCAGGTTGCTGGTGGTAGTTGAAAAATTGTTGGAATCCTTCTGGGAAATAACATGGTGATATAAATAAATAATTAAAATATCAGAGGCTACATAATTTCCATATTCATTAACTTAGTCATTCTGGTTCTGGATAAATATCTTAAAAATATAATCCTAAAGAAATAAAGGCTCTTCTACACATGAAAGTGTGCATTTTAGAGCTATTTATATAATAGCAGGATTGAAAGCAATTTTCATTGTCAATAACTGCATTTAATTGCAATAGCTGGTTAAATTCAGACACATTCCTTCAGTGGGATATTATTACACAATGATGAAAAGCTAGAACTATGTAAACTTTGCCACAACCAAAAGAATAGTTATGATATGATAGTGAGGGACAAAAAGCAGGTCAAATGTTGTTTATTATATAATTATAATTATATAAGACTTTTAATTATATAAGACATATATATAAGACTTATATAATTATATAAGACTAATGATAATTAGAATTTTAGAATAAAAAGGAATATACAAGGGATTCCTCTCTGGTCCAGTCTCTCAGACTTTGTCTTCCCATGCAGGAGACACAGGTTTGATCCCTGGACCAGGAACTAAGATTTCACCTGCCTTGAGGCCAAAAACCAAAACATAAAACAGAAGCAGTTTTGTAACAAATTCAATAAAGACTTATAAAATTGTCCACATTAAAAAATAGTCTTTAAAAAGAATACACAAAAAAGCCAAAGTTGCTCTGTTAGTTACAGGTGGCTTCCCACCTTGCCCTTTTCTGAGCTTCCTTTAATGTTATAACATTAACAACATTTCAATGATAATAATAAATTAGAACAAATTGTAGTAAAGATATTAACCATCTTTTAAAAGCCAAGGAGTTTTGAGGAAAGAATAGGGTAATTAGCAAGAGGACTATTGGCATCAAATCAGAGGGATTAAAATAATGAAGAGGTTGGTGGGGTTTGGGGAGGTGAGGAGAGGAGGAGGAAGCACCAGAAATCTGGTTTTATGGTCATAGAAGCCTCAGATGTGAAGGGGATATGAATCAGTTCATTGGGCCTGGGCAGTTCTGGGTACCCAAAGGCAGACTAAGCACATTCCTAAGGATTAGTGAAGCAAAACCATGTCAAAGAACTTGATATTTGAAATTTCAAGCAAGCATCAAGGAAGTTATCATGGAGGTGGGGTTAGGGGATGAGAACTTTGCTGGACTTCCTTGTAGGTATTTTATGATTTTGTCATGCTTTTATTTTGAATTGGATGGTGAGGAAAATACTGTAGACTCTTCTGTGGTTGAAGTCTCTGAAGGGTTGCATCTGACCCTGGGCTGGAGTCTTGCTCAGTCAGCTACAAGTCAGTCCATCACTTGTGAATGCCAGTTGTGTTCATTCTCAGGCCAGCAGATTGCATGAGGGTTGTTTGGTGCAGCGCCTGAATAGTTAACAGACCTCCTCAAAGCACCCCATTTACAGCCACGGGGACCAACTCCCTCAGCTAGGGAGGCTCAGGGCTCAGTTCTGAGGCTGTCTCCAGACACTCACTCAGTTTTAATAATGAGACTGTTTACCTGGTACCAGGCATAGCATCTCAGCTTGCTATGATGCTGAAAACCCCAGGAGGGAAAAACCAAGGCCAGAGTTGGCTGAGTGAGTCCCCAAGGTCATAGTCATGGCAAAAGGTGGAATCAGCTCCCTGCTGGAGTGTGCAAAAACCATGGAGGTGAGGTGGCATTTCATAACACTGCAACCTGTTTTCTGGTTCTGAGTGCTGGCCCACCGCCCACATGAGCAAGGGAGGGGATCCCCCTGCAGGTGGATCTGAGTAACTGCCATTCTGTTTGCCCTCTCTCCAGGGTGGGGGGGCAGTCCCCCGAGCCTCCTCGCAGGCAGGGGAGATGCTCCAGAGCCTACCTTTGGAAGAAGAGGAAGGGACAGACTCAGAAGCGAAAGAGGACGGTTCTATAGAAGATTCAAAAGAAATCAACACCGTGGCTTTTGTGAGAGAGAACACTGGGGCGCAAAAGGGACTTCAGAGTGCCCATTCGCAAGGCAAGAAGAGGAAGAAAAAGAGGTTAGGATCGCAAGATGGGGAATGGGGATCCATGTTGGGAAAAGCAGGAGGGACCTGGAGGGGAGGGGGCCTCAGCGGCTAAGGAGTAGGTAAAGGAGAAACTGTGTGGAGTAAGTCACACCATTTTTGGTTCATATAAAAAGAATCTACTTTTGATCATCTGTTTTATAGAATCAAAGAATGCTGTGTGTAATCTAAAACCACACCTGTCCTAATCTTCATTCTGTTGTGTGGGGAGAAAATTGTGTAGGGAGGGACGATTTTCTCATTTTAAGAAAGTACTTATTGTCTTGGGGGTGTAGGATATGTTAAGTGTAACAGAACCACGTTGATTTCTTAGGATCTGACTGTGGCTTCTGTATTCCAGTTCTTATTTAATATTTTGCCATACCCTACTCCATTCTTGGGGGGAGGGTGGAATGAATCACTTCTCAGACTGATTGATATCTGACACCTTCTCCGATTTCTAACTCATAGTTTCCCTTAATTGGGGGCAATAGGAGGGAGACCATTAAATATTTTGGCCAAAAAGATGTTCACTTCCTATTCCTGATGGGCCACTGGAATTAGAGGATTGAGGAGTGATGATGTAAATGTGAAGCTTTAAGCAAAATCAGCCATAAACACAATACAGAATTTCTAGCTCATAGGCAGAGCAACAGTACTCTGCACCAATGTTTTCTGTCACTATGAAGCTACAGGGATATGTATCCTCAGTAACAGGGATGGTCAAAGCAGGCTCAGTGTGGCCACTGAGATCTCACTCAGCTCCCATGGGACTGGATGTTTCTGCATGCAGTCACTTGTTCTGGCAAGTGTGTCTGTCTCTGTCTTGGTGCTTTCCCCTTTCTCTTTTCCAGATGATTGGTGATCAATCTATCCAGCTGCCGATATGAGAGTGGTGAGCATCTGCCTTCAATGCATCCACCATGGGGATCCCACTGGATTCCCCCAAAGAGTTGGGAAGGGTCACTTATATATTCCTGAGGACGGGAAGGGGGTGTCTGCTAATTGTGTTCTTTGCATCTCCCAGTCCAATTAACTATTTGAGAAAGTTGGGAATCTCATTCCAAGAAAATATGAGTTTTGATCTCGTATTGCTGAGATCTCGTTTGAGATCATTTGATCTCATAGTGGTGTGTACTTCCACTATCTGTAGTTCCCGTGTATGGTTATTGGGGGATCTATTGAAGAGCTGGCAGCGATGGCTGCAATCATTGGCTCTTTTTTGGAGCACAAGTTACAAACTGGCGGTCCGTGGGCTAAAGATGACCTGCAGACCTACTTTGACTGCAGAGCAGAGTGTTATTATTTTCACTTTGAATTTAGGTGCTTTTAGGCTGGTCCTGACTCTTCTGGTCACTATAGGCACTTCTGCCTTTCCAGGTCCTTGAAGGTATTTGAATTTATGTTGGAGTCAGCTCCCAGTTATTAATAGGGACCAGGAAAGAAGGAAGTGTGTGGTTTTGAAATACACTGTGTAGTTTTCTTCTGTCAATTTACCTTACTAATTAAGCTTGGTTTTGGCTGACGTTAAGGATTAGTTTATATTCCCTGAACCCTCAGTGCTAGTGTTTGGAGGAAAGCCAAAGGCCTGCTTCCTGGCAAGGGTGGGTGAAACACTGATCTCAGAAAACCTTCTGTGGTGATCACTGGGCACCAGCCGCACTCTCCAATAGCTTTCTATTCTCTGTGTTCCTTTCTTGGCAACAGCGTGTCCAGATGGGGCAAGATGGCTTCCGGTCCCAAGGAGCCCACTAGTCTGGCTTCCGTGTACAGTCTGGGAGCACCTAGAAACGTAACCTCCCCGTCTCGTGCTCCTTCCGCACCTCCCCCCTGATGGGTCTTTCTTCCTCCCCCTCCTGGCAGTGCGTAGGGCGGCCCAACAGTATGGCCTTCGAGAGGGAGGAGAAAGTGATGACTGGACTCTCTACTGGACTGACTTCTCAGTGTCACTGGAACGGGTGATGGAAATGAAAAGTTACCAGGTATCTGGGTCAGAGCTGTTCCTCAGTGTAAGCGTGGCATCAACCCTGTGGGGCCCCACTCTTATGACTGACCCCAAAGGGGAGCTCGTGGGTGCTCCTGTGGGCCCCATTGTTCATGACTTCTGGCTTCCTTTGCAGAAAATCAATCACTTCCCAGGGATGAGTGAAATCTGCCGCAAGGACTTGCTGGCCAGGAATATGAGCCGCATGTTGAAGATGTTCCCGAAAGATTTCCACTTTTTCCCGAGGACCTGGTGTCTTCCTGCTGAGTGAGTGCCCCTTTCTCCACTCCCCACCCCCAGTTTACATTTTCTTCTTGCCCCTAACCCTGGTTACTACTTTCCCTTCCCATAGGATCTTCCATCTCTCTCTTTTCAGGAAGAGAAGGGATAAAGGGTGTATCCGAGGTTGAGAAAACACAAGGCTCCGCCTGTAAAAGTAGATGACATTTAGGGGCTGGGTGCCTTGGAGCCTGTGCCTGCAGTTGGGATGAGAGTTTGTTCTGACCTTGAAAGCTGTTGATTTTGAACTTGTTCCAGTCTTTTCACTGTGCAGTTTCTGAATTTTTGAGGCCTTCGAGCACTCTGGAGGGAGTGAGGTGATGGTTAGAGCCCTCTAACCATTAGGAGCAGGGAGGGATACCTGACCTCTGACCCATGGCAGGACATGGCAGTCAGCCCTTTCCCATCTCTGTCTCCCTATATCCATCTGGAAACTGGACATCCATTCCTGGTACATAAAGTACTCTGGACCACACCGCTGAGAAGCAGGAGAACTGTGAGGTGACATGAGCATGACCTGGGTACAGTCCGGTGTCTGGATGAGGTGGGGAGGTGGGGGTACAGAAGCACTGCCATCAGAATGATGTTCACAAGGCAGGGGCCCCACAGGAGTCCCACTGTCCCCTCTCCACTGAGTGCTTTCCCAAACCAAGAGCACCAGAGTGCCCAGCTTTTTCAGACTTGTTTAGAACAATTGGCAGAGCTTAGCTGCAACTTAGAAGGAAATGTGTTTGTCATCAGGTCCGCAGGCACCTCCAGATTTCATGGCCACTGAGAGACATTGTAGTTACATGACTTCTCCAGTGGCCACAAAGCTCCTTTGAGTTAAATGGAAAACAAGAAGTATTGCAAGACTGAGATTTAGAATCCTTTAAGTTGGTTGCTTTCTTCTGAGTATACTTTCTTCAAAGTACATTCGAAGATAGCATTTGCTGGACTACCCTGGTGGTCCAGTGATTAAGACTCCGCCTTCCAATGCAGGGGGTGCAGGTTCAATCCTGGTTGCGGAACTAAGATCCCAAATGCCACGGGGTGAGGCCAAAAATTAAAATAAAAAGACAGCATTTTCCCTGTCACTCTAGCTAGAGTGGAGGTGTTACAGAGGAAAAGCTGAAGTGCAGAGCAGGGAAGGAGATCCAAAGTCACATCATTTGTCAGGGCTTGAGTCAGATTCAGAACTCTACATCTCTTATTTGTAAACTGAAAGCCAAACTGTGTGGATCACAATTACCTTTACGGGGTGTGAGGCATGTACCAACACCTTGCCTGCATTGTGTCATGTATGAGATAACTGCCATTGTCCTCATTGTGTAGATGATGGAACTGAGGTTTAGTGAGGTCAAGTCCTTGCAACGGGCCACACTGGTGAGTGATGTTGCCTGGGTTTAAATCCAGCTCTGATCTCCCTCCAGAGCCCATCCTCTCTCCACTATGTGTGCTCCACTGGCTCTCCAGATCTCTGGGCATCTGTCTGTCAATTACAGGGTTTTTTATCACTTTTTAAAAAAGAATAAAGAGCTAGCTTTCATTTTCACTGATCCTCAGCTAAAGGTGTCTCATTCCCTCCCTGCTCTGGTAGCTGGGGAGATTTGCAGAACTACAGCAGGTCAAGAAAAAATAAGACTTACATCTGTAAGCCGGATTCGGGCTGCCAAGGGAAAGGTATATTCATCACCCGAACAGTGAAAGAAATCAAACCAGGGGAGGATATGATCTGTCAGCTCTATATCTCAAAGGTACTTCCTCATCATGACTATTTATTTATCATCCACAGCACCCTCAGGCTGTAGCTTCACTGTGAAACTAGGGAAGGGAGGGTGGGGAGGGAGTGATACAAATCTTCTGCCTTGTACTTGGTCAGACCAAGCCTTCTGACTGGAGAGGTGACATGTGCCTAGGCCAGAGTGCCCTTGGAGGTTGGTCTGGCCCTTCCAGGCTGGCCCCTTGCCTCTAACAGACAGCCTCCAGAGACACTGATCTCTGGAGATCCCACCTCCTTTGGGAGAGAGGAGTAGGCCTGGAGAGATCAGGGTAGCCAGCTTTACTGCGTGGCTGGAGATAAAGCCTGGTACAGAGAGGGAGCCTTCTAGAAGGTACATGGAAGGGACACCTGGCTGGTACTTCCATCAGCATTGCAACTGCAGGGAGAATTCTGGCAGAAGGGCGGCAGGAGTATATACAGTCCTGGATGGTGACACATGTCCTTCATCACAGGACTTTTTCGTGTTATTTTATCTCATTGCCAGGAGAGCTCTTCAGGGTAGTTACTTGTGCCACTCGACAGATCAGGAAACACAGGCCAGGTGTGCTTTAGTGACTCCCACCAGGTCACATGATGGGTCACAGGGCCCAGGCCCCACATCTCCCTCTCCAGTCCCGGCCCAGGCCACCCTTTTTTAAACACAGGCAACACTGGGACTGACGCCACAAAAGGCAAGACAGGGCCCCGATGAGCTTCAAGCCTGGGTTTCTCCTCTGATGCTGTGTGGCTCCTGTTCTCTCCTTCCAGCCCTTTATCATTGACGGGTTCAAGTTCGACTTACGGATTTATGTGCTCATGACATCCTGTGACCCCCTCAGGATTTTTGTATACAATGAAGGACTGGCACGCTTCGCCACCACCTCTTACTCCCATCCCTGCACAAACAACCTGGTGAGCTCGGGGACATGCTGCCTCCACTTCCTCTTTAAGCTGGTAAAAAACCCTAGTTACACCTGCATTCTCAAGGCATGTTGAATATGGCCGTCCCTTGCTGGACTCTCAATTACTGTGTAACAGGATGTATCTGTTCTTGGATTTAGCCTTCCCAAGAGCCCTCAGAAATAGGGATTATCATCTCCAATTTACAGATGAGGAAACTAAAATCCAGTTATAAGGACAGCAGAACTAGGAAAGTCCAGGACCTTGGGCCAAGGTCCAAGTTCACAGAACTAGGAAGAGGCGAGGATAGGACTCATGGCCTGACTGTAAAACCACAGTTCCATGGTGCTCAAAAAAAGGACATGGGCAAGCCCCCAGCCCTCCCCCCACATCCCTGGCCCCAGGGTTCCTCAGGTCTTCCTCAGCAGAGTGCCACTCAGCCTCTGGAGGAGTGGAAGTATCATGCTCCAGGCTGTAGGGTACCCCTTCTTTCTTCCTCCTTTTTGCCAGTGTATGTAAGCCGTAAGACATCCTCTTCCTTTTCCTTCTCTTTAAGTCCCAGGGCCCACGGGAGGGCGCAGAGAGGAAGTGGGAAGCTGCGCTTCCTTCTGACCCCACAGACTTGTGTCTCTTTCCCCAGGATGATATCTGCATGCACCTGACTAATTATTCCATTAATAAGCACAGTGCCAATTTCCTTCAAGATGCTCACTCTGGCAGCAAGAGGTAAGGAAGCGGTTCCCCTTCTCTTTCCCTGCTGGACTCAGAGCTGCTCTCTGCGATTCTACTCAAACCCCATCAGTCCCTATCAGTGTTTCTATCTCAGATCATGTGGTCTCAGAAAATATTTCTTTTCCTCTAAACCCAGAACAGACGCCTTAGTCTCTGCCTTCTGGCTGTTAATCATTAAAAGAAGGTCACATCATAAACCCTAGGGGGTTGGGAGGAGGAGAGATAAACATGAACTGTTTCCCCAGCAGGATACACACACACACACCAAAACACACTCATATTACAGTTGGCCCTTCTGACATTTCCAGACCAACAGCTATTTATTGATTGCTGGTCTGCCACCGGAGAAGGACCTGCCAGGCCTGGGGTTCCCTGGGGTGTTGCTCCAACAGAGATTCTCAAATGATGTGGCATGATGTCCTGGTGTGACATGACCTGTGGCTAGCTGGCTGGAAGTTTCCCCAGAAGAATGGGGGGAAATGGGAGGAATGCATGAGTCTTTTCCCCAGTGGTTTTTACATTTCTCTTGTCATCTAATCCTGTCTCATTGATGTTTTTTTTGTCTCATTGAGTTTTAAGATGACTAGGCTAAAGGGAGAGGGCAAGGAAGGCCTGTGTGGCGGGGCCCATGTTGGTGCTTTGAGTGCATGTATTTTTTCATTGAATTTTCACAATACCATGGCAGAGGTGCCATCACCTCCCTCTTGTAGGTGGACAACTATGAGTTAGGCACCACCTCCATTTTATAGATGAGGAGACTGGGCCTCTGAGAGGTTAAATAAGCTGCTGAAAATTACAGGCTATAAATGCTAGAGCTGGACACAAATGTCACTCTGTCAGATTCCAAGGCGCATGATCTTTCTCTTGTATCAGGCTTAAAGGACTGATAAATAGAGTCTGTTTGGCTTCAGAGCATCAGAGAAGCACAGGAAATTTCACAACTCCCTCGGCAGCAGAGTTCCACAAAGCAAAAGGAAAGTCAGTAGGTTAAGCCTACTGGAAGGGGACATGTCGGGTGGATAGGTGATCTCCCCCTTGTCCTAGAGTGCCAACCACCCATCTTGTCCACAGCTCCCTGACCTCCTCTTTGCCCACCTGATCCTTGGGGACCCACTGGCATTCTGCACTGTTCCGTGTTGAACATCAGGGCTTGGCGAGGCCCAGCTTCTAGTCCCTGCTCTGACTCTCACTGGCTGAGTCGTCTGGAGCAAGTCCGTTCACCTCTATGAGGCTCCGTTTCTTGGTCTGTAGGATGAGAGCAGTGAGATGCCCTGCCCTGCCCACCTCATAGGTTCACTCCAAGCCTCACGTGACCTGTGAGAGCACCCAGACGGTGCTCTTAATTACTGTGATTTCTCTTTAGTCTAAAGGCGTGTAGTTAAAGGACCATCATCCCCCTCCTCTTATAAGAACAAACACCCCACTAACAGACTTTGGGCCCTCAGGCTGTGATGGGTGGTGTATGTGGTGCCAGGACCAAGGTGGGGGTGTAGAGTATTGTTCTGCTGCCTTTATTCTCCCTCCTTCCTTCCTCTTCTTTTGCTTTGCCTCTCTCACCCAGGCCTGGCCTCACTGCTCTGCTCTTCTCCATCCCCCTCTCTGCTGGAGCCCCCTCTCCTACCTGCCCCTGCAGTCCCCCACTCACCCTTTCTCTAGGCCCATCTCTCCTCCGCTGCACCTGGATGTCTCAGTGTTGCTTTCTGCTCAGCATTTCCCAATGTCCTGAATCCTCTCTCCTCATGTCCATCCCAGCAGTCCAAGCTTCCCCCTCTCTACCTGCTGACTCACAGGATTGGAGAGTTTGGTATCATCTCAGATGTTTCCTTTTTCAGCAAATCATTAAATTCTGAAGTTCCTTCCTTCAAATGTCCCCCAGTCCTTTCCTTTCCACCAGGCCCCAACCTTGGTTCAGCCTCTTCCTTGACTGTTGCATGACCTTATCACTCTTCTCCTTAGCTCCAGGCACTTCTGCTTAACCTTTTTGTACATCCGATTTCTCATCTCTGAAATGACGAGATTGGGACATCCCTGGTGGTCCAATGTCTAAAACTCCGCACTCCCATGCAGGGGACCCAGGTTCAATCCCTGGTCAGGGAACTAAATCCCAGATGCTTCAACTGAAAGATCCGGAATGCCACATCAAAGGCTCGGTGTAGCCAAACAAATAAATGAAATGACGTGATAGGGAATTCCCTGGTGGTCCCGTGGTTGGGATTCCGAATTTCCACTGCAGGGGGCACATGCGTTTGATCTCTAGTCAGTTCACTGATCAGATCCCACAAGCCATGCAGTGCAGCCCACAAAATAAACAAATAGATAAATAAAATGATGTGATAAAGCTGAATCCTGGTCAGCCAGCCCCAAACAGATTTACCATAAGAACTTATTGAGATGATATGTATAAATAGGCCTCAAAAACCATAACCCCCATGCAGGTAGCTCATATTATTATTATACACTCCATATACTCATTACTTCTGCACTCAGGTAACCAGTATGGTTCCAGGTGCCTAGAGCACCAGTTCAAACTCCTCTAGTCACGCTATGCTTTGACCAGACCCCATTTCCCACTATTATTATTACTACACTAATAGTTACCATTTTATTTGTTGGGACTTGCTGTCTGCCAGGCACTGCTCTGAGAAATTTATACACCTCAATACATTTAATTCTCACAATGACACTGTTAAGTTGGCATGATTTCCCAAGTTTGCATATTAGGGAACAGGTGTAAAAAGGTTAAGAAACTTGCCCAAGGTTACACAGCTAGAAAGTGGCAGAGCTGGAATTAACTCCTGAGTCTGGTCCATACCCTTAACTACTAGTAACACTGTCTGCACCATCCACTCTGTGGTGGTCTCTCAGGATGTTCTTTCGCTTAATTTTTGATACACAGGCCTTGCTCATTCCCACTTCTCTGCCTTTGCTCAGCTCCAACTGAAAACATAGGGAAACATCCTTGAAGGCCCTTCTGTCTAAGCTCTGTGTTGCCTTCTCTGACCTGGTCCTAGATGCTGGTCCAGCCACATAACCACTGCAGTGTGGGGGAAACCCATCTTCTCTGTGGGCCTCTGTTTCCTCACTTGTCAGATGGGAGGATTGTCTTCCATCTCTAAGGACAAGCCTGTGGAATCTAAGTCTAATCACCCCAGAAGCCTCTCCATCTCTGGACTCCCACCATCCTCCTGGTCAACATCAGCTGTAGCCTGTAACTACTCTTTGCTTGGAGCACATGTTTGTCTTCTGTCCCTAATTGTCCTTAAGTTCTTTGAGGGTTAGTATTGTGCCCTGGCTTTAGAATCTAGGTGCTTCCCATGTTTTGGGGCAGAGTGTCTTCCTTCTCTCCCTCCAATTTGCTTTCACCTCTCCTTATTCTCCTCTTCCTCACCTTTTGAAACCATCTGCTTCTCCAACTGACTGCCTCACCTGCCCTAGACTACCCCCTTCCTAGCTTGACACCAGCCATACCCGCAGTAAATCCCCACCAGACTGCAAACTCAGTAGCAGCAGTGAAGAAGAAAAACTGGAAACGTGGCAGGTCTCCGGGGCAGAGACCGGGCCTTATTCATCTTTCAGGGAGCCTGGCACATAGTTGGTATGTTAAATTGAATGGACTAACCACTGGGTGTTATGAATTTACACAGTAATGTGTATTCATTGTGATGTGCCTGAGTCATCAAGAAGATGTTATGTTATGATTCATAATGTCTATTATAAGATGGTAGAGGAGTGTCTAATCTATTTTGGGAATTTTTATTTCCCAGTTAGGCAAATTAAACACATTTTTTTTTTTTGCACTTGAGAGGATTGGCTTCAAGGGATCTGGAACATTCATTTATGAGCAGCACTTTATCCTGGACAATGGCAGATGGAAAAGGCATGCCTCTATACTGAGTGTCTCTGTTTATCTGTTGTCCTATAAATGCATCTTTGGTTGTTTCATATGTGTGCTGGCTCTTCAAATGGTCCTTAGGCTTCCCACAGGAGAGGTGCTGGTTTCTCAGGATCCCCTCATTGCATGAATTTTGCACACACAGCAGTGTGTCTGTCACTCAGTTGTGTCCAACTCTTGGCGACCCCATGGACTGTAGCCCACCAGGCTCCTCTGCCCATGGGATTCTCCAGGCAAGAATACTGGAGTGGGTTGCCATGCCCTCCTCCAGGGGATCTTCCCGACCCAGGGATCAAACCCATGTCTCTTATATCTCCTGCATTGGCAGGTGGGTTCTTTACTACTAGTGCCACCAGCAGGCCCTTAGTAAATGTGCATTGGCTCCACTGACTGGGGTCCAGCTCTATGGACTGCCTGGTTGAGCTGTGTTTCCTGTCTTCTCATTCTTCTCTTTCCTTTTCATTCTCCTGCATCACCCATATTTCCTCCTCCAGTGTTTTCACTTCCTACTTCGGTTCTCTGTGCACACGTGTGTGTGTGTGTGTGTGTGTGTGTGTGTGTAAGGGGGCGGGTATCTGTCCCCACCATTGCCTTTTGGACCTGTCAGGTTTGTCCTGTCTCTGTACTGTCCAGCTCAGAGCTGACTGGAGCATTTCCTCATGAACTTCTCTGCAAGGGGTAGATATTCTCTGCTATCTGTGACAGGGGGACCAGCCATCTTGGTTTGCCTGTGACTGAGGGGTTTCCTGGGATGTGGGACTTTCAGCTGTTAAAGTCAAGACTATCTGGTTTGCCTGGGACAGTGGGTAACCCTATCTGTGGAAATGCCCTGGGGTTGCCTTTTCCCTCTGGGCTTCCCTTTAGGGGGTTAACATTGAACAAAATTAACCACATTTCTGTGTCTTTAGTGTCCCCAGAAGCCCCTCAGACAGTGGAAGTGGAACCCAGATATCAGTGGCCTTAAAAGACTCCTTAAGTGCTTCTAATGAACACTAACGGCTAAGAAACCATTGCTACCAAGGCAACATTGTGATGTGGGGTGTTGGTTTTTGCAATTTTTAAAATTCATCCATGAAGCTTTCCACCGGGATACTCAATCCCTGCCCCAGCCCACAGATGTTTTCTCCTACGGGGAGCTGACACAGCTATTACCCTTGCTCCTGAGTGTTCCTCCCACTGGCTCTGGGGCTTTATCCTCTCTAGAAGTTTCTAGTTTCCAGCATTCTACGGCCTTAGATGACCAGAGGTGGGCTGCCCTGCCTCACAGCCCATGGTTTCCTTCCAGGAAGCTCTCCACCTTCAACATGTACATGGAGAGCCATGGCTACAACGTGGCGCAGATCTGGAGAGACGTTGAGGACGTTATTATCAAGACGATCATCTCGGCCTACCCCATCATCAAGCATAACTACCACACCTGCTTTCCCCACCACACACTCAACAGCGCCTGCTTTGAAATCCTGGGCTTTGACATTTTGTTAGATCACAAACTCAAGCCCTGGCTGCTGGAGGTAGGGAGGTTGGGGTGAGGGGTGAAGCTGGCACCTGTTACTGGGGTCAGTTCCATCCCTTCGCCCTCCTGGCCCAGCTAGGATGTTGTAATCCACTTGCCGAGCATCGGCCTCCCTGGCGCTTGCTGCCTGGGGCGTCTCCCGTTGCTGAAAAGTGGCCACCAGAGGGAGGTAGACGGCCGGGAATTAGAGAATTCCTTGTGCTTTCTTGAGGTCCACCCAGACTTAGAAGCTCTGATCTCAGGCACAGAGTGACTCTAAAGACAGCTCTACCTTTTCTAACAGAGTTGTCTCCGTCACAGAAAGGACACTTTGTTGTTCATCAAAGCTGGGTGGAGGAAATTTGAGATCAGATGGAGCTACTGGGCCTGGCTATTTGGGGCCTGGATTCAGTTCCAAGCACCAGCAGAGAACAACCTAGTGTCTGTGGGCATGGAAAAGGGCAGGGAGCCACTCAGTGAGTTTCTTGTCTCCTCCAGCCCCATGGGGTGATGGGAAGAGGAGGAAGAGAAGCTTCTGGGTGTCTGCATCTCTTCCTGACTGCACCTGTGCAAGCAGGCCTCTCCCATGGCCGTTCAGTGTACACACCAGAAGCAGGGGCGAGGGCAGGGCTGTGGTACAAGTCAGAGGTGATGGTGACGGCTGCCAGTGATACAGAGGCAGCCTGCAGAGGGGAGGACCCAGAATTACATATCAAATTCCTGGGGTCTTGCCTTTCCTCCATTCCTTGCCCTTGTTCCCAAGTACGTGTGGGAAGGAGAATACGGCCGTTTAGAGCTCTTACGAAAGAGCAGAGTAAACTACCAGGAGCAAGCCTTCAGAAACTGCTAGAAGTCTTCAGATGTCACATAGTGCCTCTGAACAATATGGACTCTTTTGTGAGCAGGAATGAGTCCTTTCAGTCCTCCCACCATCCTGACCCTTAACCCCTATCAGGATCCTGAATGCATGCATCACTCCTTTCCCCTCCCCACCTCCCAGCCTGACCCTCTGGACTGCCCTCTTCCATCTGGTCTCTGGGGTGCACAGTGAATGGGAGGGAGCAAATGCACCCCAGATGGAGGGGAAACCAAAGACAGACTTGCCATGCTCCTCAGGAATTCAGGACTGAAATAAAAGCTAGTTACACTGCAGGGGTTTCTGCTCCCTCCTTTTTTCACTGGGGCTCCAGTCCAGACCCTCTTTCCCTCTCTCTTCCACTCATTATGGTAGCCAGGGCCCCTAGGTGGGCTCAGGTAGCTCCGTGGAAGGGGCACTTAGCTTTGCCCCCTGCTTGCATGCTGCCCAGCCTCCCCAGCTGCTGTCTTGTCCTCACAGGTAAACCACTCTCCGAGCTTCTCCACTGACTCCTGGTTGGATAAAGAGGTAAAGGATAGCCTGCTGTATGACACTCTGGTCCTGATCAACCTGAGAAGCTGTGACAAAAAGAAGGTCTTGGAGGAGGAGAGACAGCGGGGGCAGTTCCTACAGCAGTGTCGTTCTCGGGAGACCAGGTACAGTCAGTTCTAACAAATGATATTCCTGTTTGGAACATAAATTTCTATTTGCAGGATGTGGCAGGTTAAACAGTTTTTCTTGTGGTTATTCCTTTGTTCCTAAAAATAGATTAATTTATAGACATAAGTACATGTGATCAATGTAAGTTTGTTAATATCATATGGAAAGATCCAGGGATTACCAATACAAAAAGTAAAACCATCTGTCTTTACAAAAGGGAACATTCATCTGTCCTCCCCTTGTCACTGTGTTGTGGGGAACACCTCATCCCTGCTGCATAGCACTTGCCTTCGTCCTATAACAGAGGCCTTTGTCTGCAGAGCAAGAAGGAAGTCTCAGAGCCTGTCAAGGACTTGGCTTTGCTGCTTTTCAGATCTCACAGTGGCCCCTGCCCTCCTCACAAGCCTGATCCTTTGAACTGATCTTCTGGAACTAGGCCATGGCATCAGGCTATCTCTGTTTGGATGGCACTGTGTTTCTCGGAGCACATTCAGGTCTACTGCCTTCCCTGTGAGGAGGGGGTGGGTAGGTGGTAGTGTGGGGGATTCTATGTCCTGCTTTGGGAGCTAAGAAGACCAGTACTCTGGAAGGGGAGCTGCCTGTACAGGTCACCTCGCTGACAAGTGTCAGGTCTGGACACAGAGCCTGATAGGTTTGTGCTGCCTGGCGTTCCAGGATAACTTCCACTGAACTTGGAGAAGGAGGCAGCATCATTTAAGGAGCATCCCCTGAATCAGTCTCCTCGTCATGACTTGGCCCTGGATGGCCCAGGGGCTCCTGGTTTCCCTACTATAAAAAGGGCTTATTGATCCTCCGACCTGACTTCCACCTCCTGGGGGGCTCTGAGGGGGAATGAGATCATCAACTCTCATAAAATCTCATCAGGCTTATCCAGGTCTATCCAAGCCCTCAAGTTTAGCCAGGTCCTCCAGAGGAGAGTAGCAGGGACTGTGATTGGAAAGGTGACAGTCTGCCTCCCATCAGAAGCTAAGCCAAGAGAGAAATGGGCTTTACTTGTAATGGGAGAGACTTTGGTGAGCTGTCAGGAAGACTGTTCTAACCAGCTCTTAGTGGTTATGACACCGGCTGTCCCAGGAGGGCTAGAATCTCCTTTCAGGAAACGTTCATGTATTCATTTACTTAGGAAACGCTGGTTGAACACTCTCGCATGCAAAGCCTTGGTCTCGCCCTAGATGACACCCGTGTCCTTGGAAAGGCCATGTCCTTTCTAAGCTTGGTCCCAAGAAGACCTAACTGCAGCCCTGCGTTCTGCTTCCCAACAGGAAAGAGGAAGTCAAGGGCTTTCAGGCCGTGCGTGTAGAGAAAACTGAGAAGTATGAAAAGGAAAACTGTGGAGGGTTCCGCCTGATTTATCCCAGTGTGAACTCGGAGAAGTATGAGAAGTTTTTCCAGGACAACAACTCCCTCTTCCAGAATACAGTTACCTCCAGGGCTCGGGAGGTCTATGCCCGGTAGGAAGGCTCCTGGGGTAAGGGGGGCTGGATGTTGGGGGAAGAGGAGATTGTGCTTGACCTACGGTGTGACCTTGGGGCAGCCATGAAGTTGTTTTAGTCTCAAAAGGACCAGGAATCATAAGGTTCCTTGGTGTGGGATGTTGGTAAGTAGATATGAAGCTGTTTCTACAAACTCACCCCTAAAATAGCCAGCCCAACCCCACTCCCAGAAAGCCCAACCCCTCAGAACTACCTCCTAGATTCATTCAGGTATCAGATCTAAGGACTGGAAGGGACTCATCCCATTTCACCCATTTCATGGAGCAGAAAAATGATCATCCAGCAGATAATGACAGAAGAAGCTCTAAAAGCCCTGTCCCCTGAGTCCTGTAACTGAGTTATTTCCATCACATCATTGGCCAGAGAGGCCCAGCATATGAAGGGGTTTGATGTGGGAGCCCCTGATTTTATCCTCCTACCCAGACCCTCTCCCTAGCACTTGTCGGTTGTGTGATCTGGCATACTAGGAAGGGAGGAGAGAGATGGGGTGGTCGAGTGGGGTGCTGCCCCCCACCACATCTCTCCCTGGGCTAATCCCAGACGGGAAGTGGTATGGTTGGAGGAAGGACTGTCTCCTCCATCTCTTGCTTTGGAACCCTCAATCATTTGGACACACTGGGGCAGGGAAGATGGAGCACTCCCCCTCCTTGCCCGGTCTTGTCTGCCCCTCAAGAAGTAAGTCTGTAATATTCATAGCCCATCCCTAACCTGCATGCTACTCACTGTTCCTTACTGGGCAGGCGGCTGATCCAGGAGCTGAGACTGAAACAAGAGAAAAAATGCTTGCAAATGAAACAGAAGAGGGTAGAGATGCACGGGGAATCGGCAGGCGAGCAAGCGAGAGGCAAGAGCTGGCAGAGCTGGCGACAGAAACAACAGCAGAAATGCAAGATTGCCCCCAACCAGACCTCCAAACAAGTAAACGTGGATGGGAGGGGAACGCGCATGCCCAGTACACTTCCCCGGCTGGGGCCAGTCCAGGGGGGGATGCTGAGAAGATCCCTACTGAGAACTCAGAAACATTGAAGGAATGGGGGCCGCATGGAGGGCTGGGCCCCAGGAGGGGGGCCTGGAAGTCACAAGGAGCCCTGCAGCCTTCAGAGGATCCCTCCATCCAGGCAGAGAGGACTCACGCTGTTCTGTCCTTCTCCCTCCAGTAGGAGTAAAAGGGCTGGGAGGCTGAGGACCAGCCCCATGTGGGAGTGGGCTCTAGGACTACCTTACTCATGGTCCCCAACTCCAGTTTAGGTTGAAATGCCCCCTTCCTGCAGGCCAGGGGCACAACTGAGAGAGAAGGCTACAGGGAAAAACTTTGGGGGGGCAGGACCTCAGAACATTACAGCAGGGGGCAGAACACAGCTGGTCTTTCCAGCCTTCTCTCTGCTCCAAGTATGGACTAGCCTCCAGGCTGGGGCCAGCTGTCCAGTTGTCCCGCGATCTCAGTCTCTGGAACCCCCTTCTTGGCCTAGCTTTCTCTTCTTGCTCAGTGGAAAGATTCAGTTGACTTTTCAGTCTCTCTCCTTCTTAAAGACTTACCTGAAGTGACAGGATTAGAAGTGTTTTTTTTTGTTAGGGTCATAGACCCTCTGAGAATCTGATAAAAGCTATGGAATCTCTTGCCATAAGTAACTGCAGTTTTAAGTGGTTCAAAGACCCCGTGAAACCATCCATGAGCCCTCTAGGGGGTGTCCTTGAACCCTAGGTTAACAGCCCCGGCTTAGAGAGACTGACTCAGATTGCTTTCCTCTCCTCCTGATCTCCTTTGCACCTACCCTTGGGTGCAGATAATCTAGAAGTGGACAGAGCTCAGTTCCCATGGGCTCTATGTTTGGTTTCCTTCTTCCCAGTATCTCCAGCCATTGACATTGGTGTCCGGCACACCTGACTTGCTCTCGAGTGTCAGACACACAGAGAAAAATGAAGCAGATAGCAGCCTTGACCAGGAGGCCCCCAAAGAGGAGGCTGATCCAGCACCCTGTAAGCCTTCATCTTCAAGGCCTTACAGCTCTGTACCTGACTTGAGGAATTCAAGTCTTCTCAGCTGCTCCAGGCCAGAGCTCAGTAAACCCATCTCCAAAATGAAGGAAGCCAAGTCTACCTCTGCAGTGAACACGATCACCAACACTGTGGTAAGTAGAGCAGGCTGCCTCCCCTGAGGACTGAGCTGGGGTGGGGTGGGGTAGTGGCAGGAGTCTTGCCTTCTGGTCCATTCTCTGCCCCTGACTTACTATGGCCCTTTGAGTAAGCTGCCTACCCCTTCTCAGGCCTCAATTTCCCCACGTGTGAAGTCCAAGTTGTGGAATGACACTCCTGCTAAGAGTCTAGGCCTATGCTATAGGGCTTTTAGAAAGGAGGCATGCCCTCTTTTGGGCAGGTTATCACCTGTTGTATTAGTTTCTGTAGGGCTGCTGTAACAAATGACCATAAACTTAGTGGCTTGAAACACAAATCTCTTCTCTCACGAATCTATTCTTTAGATCAGAAGCTAAAGATCTGAAAACAAGGTGTTGACAGGGTCATGCTCCCCTCTCTAGGGAGGATCCTTCCTTGCTTCTTGCTAGATTCTGGTGGTTGCTGTCCAATCTCTGCCTCTGTCATCACATGGACTTCTTACTTGTGCTTCTTCTCTGTGTTTCTTCACATGGCTTTATCAGGATACCAGTCATTGGATTTAGGGCTTACCCTTATCCACTATGGGCTTATTTTTAACTTGAGATCTGCAAAGATCCTATTTCCAAGTAAGGTCACATTCTGAGGTTGTGGGTGTACATAAATTTTAGGAAGTTGTTGTTGAACTCAGTATAGCAGCTCAACAACACTTCCATTTGAAACAATGGAGTTTCAAACTCCATTGATGTATGGACACCTTTTGATGGAAAGAAACCTCTTTCAGATTCCAATTGTAAACAAATTATTGTTTTTTAATATATACAAGCATAAAATAAAATATAGGTATAGGTATAAAGCCTTTATACCTATAACTCTTGAAATGAAGTGAAAGTTGTCCAGTCATGTCCTGCTCTTTGCAACCCCATGAACTATACAGTCCATGGAATTCTCTAGGCCAGAATATTGGAGTGGGTAGCCATTTCCTTCTTCAGGGGATCTTCCCAACCCAGAGATCAAACCCACATCTCTCGCATTGCAGGTGGATTCTTTATCATCTGAGCCATCAGAGAAGCCCACCTATAGCTCTTGCTCCATGCTAAGTTGTTGCAGTCGTGTCCACATCTTTTCGACCCTGTGCATTGTAGCCCACCAGGCTCCTCTATCCGTGGGATTTCCCAGGCAAGAGTACTGGAGTAGGTTGCCATTTCCTCCTCCAGAGCATCTTCCCTACCTAGGGAAGACCCAGTGTCTCCTGCATTGGCAGGCAGGTTCTTTACCACTGAGCCACCAGGGAAACCTAAAGCTCTTACATAGCTACAAAACAAGAATAAAGCACTTCCTGGTGTTCCAGTGGTTGAGGATCTGCCTGCCAAAGCAGGGGCCATGGGTTCAATCCATGCTCCAGGAAGATCCCACAGGCTTCAGGGCAACTAAGCCTATGCAGCACAGCTGTTGAGCTCATGCTCTAGAGCCTGTGAGCTGCAACTGCTGAAGCCCATGCACTCTAGGACCCATGCTTTGCAGCAAGAGAAGCCTACACACCACAAAGAAGAGAAGCACCCATTCCCTGGAGCTAGAGAAAGCTTGTGCTCAGCACCAAAGACCCAGTCTGGCCAAAATTAATTAAAAAACAAAACAAACAGCACCAATAAAATCGGCACAAAATATTAACTTCACGTGACAGTTGATTTTCTATTTCTGTAGAAACCAAGTTGCCACATAAATGTGGTACTGACAGTCCTAACACAGGTTCTTTTGTATTCATTATACTTAGGCCAACCAAGAGCTTTGTGGTGACTCTACTGGAAAATCTTCAGCATTGTTGGGCCTTCACTTGGTCTAAGTGCAGTATAGAGTAGTGCAGTGTTTTTCAAATTTCTAACCAGAGCCCATAATAGAAATTCATTTTATTTCATAGTCCATCAAATATACATACATACAATTGGAGAAAAGTTTTTAAAACAGTGCTTAGCCATGCTGCATATAGTGAGTGATTCAATCTTTTCTTTTAAAGATACCAGTTACAACCCCCTAAATTAATTTCATGACCTAGTGGTAGGTTTGCAACCCATAGTTTGATAAACATCTTTAAGAGAGTTTGCTTCAGAGCCTTATCACCTTGGATTTCACAATGATTTCTTGGATATGACATCAAAAGCACAAGCAGCAAATGCACAAATAGATAAGTGGGACTACATCAGACTTAAATAATCAACAAAATAAAAAGACAACCCGTGGAATGGGAGAAAATCTTTTCAGATTATATATCTGATAGAGATTAATATCCAGAATATATAGAGAACTCTTACAACACACAACAACAACAAAACCAAACAACCTGATTAAAAAATGGGCAAAGGCTGGGACTTCCCTGGTGGTCCAGTGGTTAGGACTCTATGCTTTCACTGCAGAGGGCACAGGTTCAGTCCTTGGTCAGGAATTAAGATCCTGCCAACCATGTGATTCTGCCAAAGGAAAGAAAAAAAATGGGGTGGGGAGGGAAAATGTCTAATTAAACAGACATTTCTCCAAAGTGAAATTAGCCAGCCACACACACACACACACAAAATACTGCATGCTTCCACCTATATGAGGTATCTAGAGTAGTCAAACTCTTAGAAACAAAAAGTAGTGGTGGTTGCTGGTGGGTGGGGTGAAAAAGGGATGTTTAATGGGTCCAGAATTTCAGTTTTGCGAATTAAAAGATTCAAGAGATCTGTTGCCCAACAATGTGCATATAGTTAACACTACTGTACTATACACTTAAAAATGGTTATGATGATAAATTTTATGTTATATGGGTTTTTTTTTTTACTATAATAATTAAGAGTAGGAGTATACTTTGGGAATCTGGCTGCCTCTTTTGGGTTCTTGGGGTCTCCTTTTATTATATACATGACTTCCATCTAGTCAGTCTAGTCTCCCTAAGCCTTAGTTTCCTCACCTAAAAAATGGAATTTTCATCATAGTACCTACCAATGGATTACTATGAGGATTAAATGAAAGGATCCACAAAAATGCTGTGAGTGGTATTCAACACACAGGAGTCAGTAAGCATTAGCTATTATTTTAATGTTACTGCTACTTCTTAAGACCCCCACTTTGTGTGTGTGTGTGTTTTGCATTAACCCAAGAATTAAAGCAGTACTTTAACCTAAGACTTAAAACAGTACTACTTAACTCTGATGAAATAACAAATAAGGCAGCTAGCAAAAATTCATTTTTTTTCTTTTTTTGGATTTCATGTTGATTTGATCAAAATCATTGGTTCAGGATGTTGTACTATACTTGGTTCATTCAAAGCCTTTGCCTGTTTTATTTACTTGTCACTTTATTCCTATGCTCATCTCCATTCACCTAGCCACCATCTTTTGTTCATATGTTTCCTTGAAAAGAAGAGATTTTTTAAAATGCTGGCATTTAAAATTTGTGTAAATGTGACTGGGTTATTTATCTCATTCTATGTCCTATTTTTATTTTTATTAAGCTCTACTTTTTCTTTTCTTTTTTAAGATTGATTTTACATGCATTAAAATAATAAATTTTAACTGAACAATTCTGACAAATAAATATACCTGTGTGATCAATATTCCTATCATGATATAGAACTTTCTGATATTTCCCCAAAGTTCCCTCTGGCCTTTCCCAGGCAATTGACCTTTGCTCCCTGCATCCGTCCCCAAGACAGCCACTATCCTGACTCTTTTTTTCATCTTAGATTAGTTTTGCCTATTTTTGAATTTTGTGCAAATGGAATAGTATATATTATTTTGAGTGTGACTCCTTTTATTCAGTATTATATCTGTGAAATTCATTCATGTTGTTGGATATATCAGTATTTTGTTCTTCTTTATTGCTGAATTGTGTTCCATTATACAAATACACTGCAGTGTGTTCGTCATTCTCCTGTTGATGGACATGTGGGTTGTTCCTAGTTTTTATTCTTTTATTGCTATTGTGATTAAAGCTCTTATGAACATTCCTGTATAAGTTTTTTTGTGGACGTAGTTTTCTTTTCTCTTGGATAACTACTTATGAGAAGGATTGTTAGGTCAAAGGGTAGATCTATGTATAACTTTATAAGAACACCAAAGCCTTTATTTAAAGTGATTATAATAGCTTTTGTACATTTCAGCCAACAACGGATGAAGGTACCAATTGCTCTGTGTTTGCTACCATTTGGTGCTGTCTTTTAAACTTTAGCCACTCTAATGGCTACGTTGTGATTTCTTATTTCGGTTTTAATTTGATGATTAAGCATGTCAAGTACTTCGTCAAGTGTTTATTGGTTATTCATGTATGTTTCTTTATGAGGAGTTTGTTCAAGTTTTTGCCTTTCTCCTTTTTAAGAGATGGGATTTTGAAAAAAATATCTATTTATTGCATTTGGTCTTAGTTGTGGCCCGGGGGAGCCTCATTGCAGCATGTGGGATCTTAGTTCCCTGACCAGTGATAGAACCCACGTCCTCTGCATTACAAGGTGGATTCTTAACCACTGGACCACCAGGGAAGTCCCAGATTAAAAAAAAAACCAAACTTTTTTTTTTTTAACACCAAAAACATCTTGTGTTGGGTTAACAATACAAGTTAACAATGTTGTAACAACATTGTTACAACAACAAGTTAATTACAGTTAACAATGTTGTAATAGTTTCAGGTGAACAAGTGAAGGGACTCAGCCATACATATACATGGTAGCCATTCTCCCTCCAAACCCCTCCCATCCAGGCTGGCACATAACAGTGAGCACAGTTCCATGTGCTGTACAACAGGTTTTTGTTGGTTATCCATTTTAAATATAGAAGTTTGTACATGACCTTCCCAAAGTCCTTAACTGTCCCTTCCCCCTGGCAACCATGAGTTCATTTTCTAAGTCTGTGAGTCTCTTTCTGTTTTGTAAGTAAGTTCGTTTATATCATTTCTTTTTTGATTCCACATGTAAGGGATATCATATGATATTTCTCCTCCTTGTCTGACTTACTTCACTCATTATGACACTCTCTAGGTCCATTCATGTTGC